ATATATATATATATATGTATATATGTATATGTATATATATACATATATGTATGTATGTATAATATATGTATGTATGTATATGTGTGTGTATATGTATATGTATGTATATATATACATATATATATATACATACATACATACATATATATATATATATATATATATATATATATATATATATATATATATATATTATTTGTAAACGTATAGACTACTGTTAAATTCTATTAAAAAAAAAAAAAAAAACTTAAATTATGGTAACTGACGATAGATATTAACCCTTTTTTTTCTAATATTTCATACTCAACAGGGTGTAATTTCAAAGACAGAAAAACACCTGCAGCATATTATGCGATACACGTGGAAGGTAACCGCGACACACTTGTGTATCGCGACCCACATCTCACAAGAAAACCATTGTTTGCATTGTAAGCGATGTAAATTTATTAAAATCCAGTTATTCAAACTACGTTCCATTCCCTCCTTTTAACCAAATATTATGAGTTAAATTTGAAGTTTTTTTTATCTTGCGTTCTGATAGCTCCTCGGTCGTTTGGTTCAACGTCTAGTTCGAACAACGGTTTGAAACATTTCACACCGTTCAGTGAAATTATTTTTTTCTTAACGGAATGTCAAATTCTGAGAACCGTTAGTGAATCTTAGTTTTTTTTATTATAGTTTCGTAACATCTGCTCTTAGTAGACATTTTTTTGGCTTCTTATTTATATTTTGCATAAAATAAGACGATAATTGTATAGTTAAGCATAATGTATAGTAAATAGAGCTATGTAAAATAAGCATCGTATAAAGGTAAAACAGCAGTAATATCGAAGTTCAAGACAATGAAAAATTATACGTTGTTCTATCGAATAGCCGATTCCACCAAGATCTGGAATATTTTTTTGAAAAAAAATTGTATTTTCAGAGATTCAGTCTTGTAACACTAGATATGTAATTACTAACCTCATAATTTCCTTTTTTGGGGGGAGGGAGGGGGAAAACGCTTCATTAGTCACTTCTAGTTGAGATTTTCGATGTCCAAATGTTACTGATGGGATTTAAATGGCAACTGAAATGTGACGTCGAATGAAATGTGTACAAGCCGTAACTTACCATCCTTCTGCTACATAATTTCTTGTCATCCAATCTCTCATGCACGTATACTTAAGCGTGCTTACTTGTAGTACTATATCTGTAACCGTTCACTCGGCCTGTTAATAGTTGCATAATCCTGTACTGTAAACGAAAACAGCCGACTGCAAAAAATCTTGAACCATTTTAAACGTAAACCCCACCCAGGGCGACATGAACAAACTTTGCCTGTTATATGCCCCTCACGCTTCTTGTTTCCCTGGAGAAAACATTAAATACTTCGCCAGGGACACGCCACCTACCTTAATGTTCGCTCAACCCATGACTACTTTTTCGACCTCTCTCGAAATACATGGACCTTGTTTGGGATACAGCTTCCTTAGGGAATTCGCGACGCCAGGTTTCTTCGTCCAGCCTAAATTGTAAAATATCTTACATATATGAAAGACCCCGCATCTATAAATCTGTCACAAGTAATACTGATATATTTTTATTGATGAATGACTGAATATCGCACTGGATCATTCTATAAACGTAATCAACCAGCGGTGAATGAATGGAGTTTGTGAATTACGTTCCTTTTCTCTTGAAAACTCGTAAAAAGTGACCAATGAAGGATTAATGGGATAGGGTAAAACGAGAAAAAGAGAGAACGGCAGAGACGTCAGGAGCAAAATTAAAAGCACACATATAACTATCAGTCACAGTTGCAAGTTTACGTAAGAGTAAACTGTGTGCTTGTGTGTGTGTCCTTTAGCTTCTTTTGTGTGTTTGTGTGTGTGTAGATCGAGCGATAGATAGATAGACAGATAGATAGATATGTGTTGCATCGGTTCTGTAGATTTAAAGAGAGAGTCTTTCATGTCTTCCAGATGGTCGCAAAGTGCCCCCTCCTTCGATCTTACAGAAGTGATCTTGAATTCAAAATCACAGAAAAAACATATTCTTCTTTGGAACGGAGACAGAAGGAAATATACACACGCGCATGCGCCCACACAAACACACACACACACACACGCGCGCGCACACACACACACACACACACACACACACACACACACACACACACACACACACACACACACACACACACACACACACACACACACACTCGTGTACATATACACGTACACGAGGGCGAACACGTACGTTAAATGAACCTGCTTAAATATATATTTTTTCTTCAGGAACCCAAATCATATCTCAGAAACCTCGTAAATGTGATGTAGTTAAATGTCAGCACAAATCTTATTACAGAGACCGCGTAAAACCCCTATTACCTACCTCATTAAGAGCATAACATTAATTTCATAATTATAAATGCATGTGCCATTTGGCCAGCGCACCTGCGAGTGTATACGTAGATTTTTCTTTAATGATGTGTATAACGAAACTAACTTTACATATAGTTGGAAAAGATATTGAATCGAATGTGTGTTGTGATGTTGTTCTTCTGTGGTGATAGTCTCTCTGTCTCTGTCTGTCTGTCTGTCTCTCTCTCTCTCTCTCTCTCTCTCTCTCTCTCTCTCACTGAACTTCTTGACATCTTTCTCGTTTCTTTTTATTTTCAACTTTTTGCTGTGTCCTCGTCCTTCTTGTGTTCAAAATGATAAAGCCATCTTTGTCTAACTTCATCCTTCCTGTAATATAGTTGAACATCATGTCACCTCTTTTTCTTCTTTCTTCCAAAGTAGTAAGACCTATTTTCTGTAGACTTTCTTCGTATCACATATCTCTTAGAGTAGTTGCCCATCTTATGGGTGCTCTTTGAACTCTTTCTAGTTTATCTCTGTCCTTTTTAAGCGTGGACTCCATACCACTGCATCATACTCAAGACAAGTCTGGTGTTGGCTGTAATGACCATCTTTACCATGTCTTCGTCCACACACGAATGTCCTCTTCGTGTTGGCAGTCAGCATTAGCATTTTATGAATCTTGTCATTTATATGATCATTTGGGCTTAGGTTCCTGTCTATGATTATTGCAAGGTCTTTTTCCTTATCTGCTTGGTTTAACATTACGTATCCTAGCTTGTATTGGTATAGTGGACGATTTTTACTTTCTCCGAACCTGACTACAAGGCATTTATTGGTGTTAAATTCCATTTTCCATGTACAACTCTAAATGAATAAGTTCTCGATATCACTTTGGAGTCATTGGTATGAAACATTGTCTATTATCCTTTTTTGCAGTTTCGCGTCGTCTGCAAACATATTCAGATAACTGAATATGTTTGAACCTGGCCTCATGTTTGGCCCTAAATCCTTGATGAAAATAGTAAACATAATCGGTGCCAAGACCGATCCTTGAGGCACTCCGCTAGTTACTCGTCGCCATGTAGAGTGCTTCCCTCCAATTACGGTTCTCATCTGTCTCTCATGAAGAAAATCTGCCATCCATGCGAGGAGTTTGCCTTTCACTCCACCTAGGTGTTCTAATTTCCATAACATTCTTTTATGAAACACCTTATCAAATGCCATCTTCTTAAAGTCTAATTATACACAATCCACCCAGCCGTCTCTTTCTTGTAATAATTCAGAAACTATTTTAAATATTTGCTGTATATGACCTTCTTTCCCTGAAACCAAATTGTTTATTTGATATCATATCGTGTTTTTCAAGCACCTTAACCCGCTGTTTCCTAATTATACTTTCTAATAGCTTGCATACTACACTAGTTAACGAAACTGGTCTAGAATTTAGAGGGTTTTGTTTGTCGCCGTTCTTGTATAAAGGTGTAACATTGACAACTTTCCAATCCTTTTTTTTTTTTTTTGGTAGTTGTCTTAGGCAGACCTTAAGGAGCACCGTGAGCACCGCCGGGGTTGTTCCACATTACACTACCTTGTTATCTATTGCGTTGTGTTGTACTCTTCGTGGCTGTAAAGAGACGAGCCCTACCAATCTATCATTGCCCACCTACTCTAGGACTGAGGCTCTTTGATAACAAAATTAGAGCTTCTTACAATCTCTCTTTCTCCTTCTCTCTCTCTTTATCCTCTCTCTCTCTCTTTCTCTCTCTCTCTCTCTCTCTCTCTCTCTCTCTCTCTCTCTCTCTCTCTCTCTCTCTCTCTCTCTCTCTCTCTCTCTCCTTTCATACGACCACATTTATTTCTAATTTCGAATTATAATGTAGAATAAGAATAAACAACAACGTTAAATATTACCTTTCTAATTACTTTACGATTATGATAAACTTGATTATATTATATGAGTGACGATCGTTTAGATCTAATAAAGATTTCGATATACCAGGCGAACTCGAGTAATTATTCTAAAACATCCCCTATGATGACTACGAATATATATCGTATGCGGCGTATACATTAATTAAAATAATTATAACCATATAATATCTCTCCTTTTCTCCTTCCATTTTTCTTTATCTGTTGCTCTTTTTTTTCGTTTTCTCTCATTCTTTGTTTTTTCTCCATGTATTATCTTATTTTCTTCCTATTCTAATTGTGTTTCGTTCTTTTCGCTATTTTTTCGTGGGGGTTAAAGTTTATGTTTTGGTTTTCTTTCTCTCTGTCTCCTGTGTGTATGTCGTTTTAACTCTCTCTCTCACTCTCTCTCTCGCTCTCTCTCTCTATCTCTCTATCTCTCTCTCTCTCTCCCCCTCTCCCCCTCCCTCTCTCTCTCTCTCTCTCTCTCTCTCTCTCTCTCTCTCTCTCTCTCTCTCTCTCTCTCTCTCTCTCTCGCTCTCTCTCTCTCTCTCTCTTTCCCCCTCTCCCCCTCCCTCTCTCACTCTCTTAACGAGTTCATAAATCACACTCAACCAAGGTAGAAATTAAAACATATCCTTAACGAGCAGCCTGTACCTCGAGTAGGCCTACGCACCGAAAACGACTCCGAAGCAAAACGGATAATAATAAAGAAGAGAAGAGAATGGGACACACGAGAGGAGAGGCGTGTGAGGGCACTGGACGGGTTGAATACGCAACACCCTCTCGTTAGTCAGTCGACTCTCCCTCCAGCGGTCGCACACACACTCACCTACACTCATTTCGTTGAGGGAAAAGGCCACAGGTCGGCGCACCAGTTCTGTATTTTTGTTTGGTTTGTGTTTGGTTTGTGTTTTTTTTTTTTTTTTGTGTGTGTGTGTGTGTGTGTGAGTTTTTTGTTAGTGGTAATCTCTTGTAAGTGTGGTAAGGTTTAGTGGGAGTTGAAGTTCATTGCTTTTTTTTATTTTGTTGTTTATGGAAAAGTGGTCTGTTTTCTTTTTTTTCTCTCTTTTTTTAGTGAAGAAAACGCTGTTGTCATTTATATCTATTATTCTTTTTTTTCTTTTACATTCCAGGGAGATAAAAAACTATGATCTTGCGACCCCTTCCGCAAAAAATTGAATCCCAAGACACCAAAATAAATCAATGAACAATACCAACAACTGACTCGTGAATTCGTGAAACGTGATTCGAAAAAAAGGAAATAAAGGGAAAAAAAATCGAAATGAGAGTAAAGGTGTTTGATCCCAAATTCCTGATCCTGCTCTTCCAGCTGCTCGTCGCCGTGGGGTTGGTGCTAACGATGCTCACTATTCTCTACCGGAAGGAAAAGGGACCGCAGCAAACTCTCTACCAGAAGTACGGAATCGAACACATCTTCAGGGACGAGAGAGATCCCAACGACGTATACGGACAATCTGTCATGCACGTCATGAACCAGCAGTACATGCATCCAGGGGCTCCTGTGGCTTACATGCAGCAACAACCAGTAGCGGGAGGACAGTTCATGCAGCAGATGCAGTACATGCAACAGCAACAACAAGTTCCTCCTGCTCCAAATGTCCAGCAGCAGCCTGAAGTTGCAAAGGACTCTGCAACAGGGAACGACGCCATGGTCCAGAATTCTCCAGGTAATTGATAATATTTGTTTGTTTGACTGTTTGTTTGTTTGTATGTTTGCTTCGTTGGTGTGATGGGGGAAGGGTGGGTCTGTAGAAAGAGAGAAGAGAGGGGGAAGATAGAGGGCGATAAAATGAGATAGGAGGCGAGAGAGAGAGAGAGAGGAAGTAAGGGGAAGATAGAGGGCGATAAAATGAGATAGGAGGCGAGAGACAGAGAGAGAGAGAGAGGGGGAGGGAGGTAAGAGAAAGAGGAAGGGAGAGAGAGGGGGGGGGGGTTGAGAAGGTGCGCGACTGAGAGAGAGCAAGACAGTCTGTATTGCAGCATCTGTCAGAACACATGTGCAACAGCTTATCAAGTGAATTATGGGTTTTGCAATATCCAGCGCTCTAGCTACGTGTTAATGATAAGGAAGTATCTGTAAAGAGCAGAAAAAGTTTCAAAAATATATTGGGTGGAACTTTTCATATGCGAAAGACATTAACATTAATACGTACTCGTGTGGAAGTATATATTATTTAGAGAAAAGTGGAGAATATATTTTTTATTTGAATTTTGAGGGGAAGGAAACTATGTAACACGAATCACATATATATTGCATTTATTAAGGTTCTTGCACAATTTCTTCTGATATATTTATTCGTGTTGCTGCTATTATGTTAATGTTTTAGGCCTACATGTTTTATATATACACATGGATATACACACAGACATGTGTGTGTGTGTGTGTGTGTGTGTGTGTGTGTGTGTGTGTGTGTATGTGTGTGTGTACATTGTATATGTGTATGTGTGTGTACATTTTTGTGACAGTAAAATAAGTGAATACAGAAAAAGAGAAAAAAAACACTGACAGTTGAAGTACCTATAAGCGAATGTGCAATTCAGTCTCCACCTCCTCCGTTCAAAAAACTTTTCTCTCTTCTTTAAAATTAGTTTCCCCAATGGAGGACAAGAATTAGCACGCATCGAAAAGACTTTGAAAAAAAAATAAAAAATGGTGCGACCAAAATTCATTTACAAACAGTGCCAGAAAATCGTGTTCGTGTGTTCACTCCTCATTATCGTCTGGCTTTACGTCAAGAAGGAGAAAAGTCTAACAGCTGCCCACAAAAGAGCCAAGATTCCGGCGGGAGAATTCAAATACAGATCCGGTCATGCACAAGGAGATATATTCCAGCAACAGCAGCAGGCGGCGAATTACTTTGCTTTCCTGCAGCAACAGCAACAACAACAGCTTCAACAACAACAGCAGCAGTTTCAACAACAACAACAGCAGTTTCAACAACAACAGCACTATCAACAACAACAACCACAACAACCTTTTTTCCAGCCTCCTTTTAACAACTTTCCTCGACCACCTTACAATCCCGTTCAGGTCGTGAACCAAGTGCCACTTCAGAATGACTTTAGGAACCAGTTCGCGGCTCAGGCACCTAACCAGCCAATGGGTATTCAGAATCCCTTGCAGCTGAAGGGTCCTGTGCAACCCGTGAACCAGAACGTGCAACCAGCCAATGTTTTCGTGCAACCTAATGCAGGTGCAATGGCCAATAAACTAGCCCTT